ACTTTTACATTAATAGAAAATTAGCACATGATTATGATGTAACCTTACATTAAGAATGTACCGGCATTATAAAAATTTGACCTAAATGTTATTTAAAGTTTTCCTTCTAACGCTACTTCTTTTGCTATAATGTGTTAGTTTTTTTTTTTTTTTTAGTAGACTAATCACTTTCATTTTTGCATATTACAAGAAAAAAAAAAAAGGATATAGATTTTCACTCAGAATAATTATCGAATTCATGCTCACAGTTGTCGAATGTATTAAGAAGCCAATTAGAAAAATCGGTAAAGTTTCCATTAAGCTCTTCATTTTTGTCATCATCTACATTAATATCAAGTTCTTGATTATCTGAATTAACAGATATTTCTTGTGAATTGTTAATTAATACAGATCTTCCCAACCGACGGAGAATTCGTGTATTCCAATAAATATAGACAAGCTTATCTGCTTTTTGAGTAAGCATTCTATTACGCAGTTTTGAATGAATAAATCCATAGGCAGACCAATTACGCTCACTAGCTGCAGAAGTGGCAGGAATTGATAAGACTTTATGTGCAACTTGACTTAAAGTTGGATATTGCATGCTTAATAAATTCCACCAATTAAGTGGTTTTGAGGTAAGATTTTCCCATAAATACTTTCTTGCGAAACCACCCGATTTTCCAATATATTCTGCTAACTCGTCTAATACTTGATTTTCATTATCAACTCCTGCAATTCGAATCACTTCATTATTTATTATATCTGCCCATATTTGGAGATCAAGATCTTCACCACGATACCTAGGATCAAGCATATATGCAACTATAATTGCCGGATTGTATAGAAAATTAACCCATCGATTTCTAGCTGCCTGTAATGTATTATCGCGAAGTTCTACTGGAATTTGTACATTATTTATAATTTTTTTTTTTAAATCTTGCAATATTTTATATGCAGAAGAGAGATATGGTTCATCACTCTCTAATTGACGTATAAAGATAATAAATGGTTCTAGGAAATTACGAAGTTTTTTAATATCTGCCCAAACCGTATAATCCACAATAATTGCTTTGATATTTTCATCTAATTCAATACCATCTTCAGTTAATATAGCATAAATTGCAGCTTGTGTTTGTAAAACATGATCAAGACACTCAAAAGTTGATGTCCACCTCGTATCAACAGTTAAAACAAGAGCAATCTCAAAACTGTAAGTTTCTTTTTGTAAACGACGAAGAGTTGCCATAGGAATTTGATGATTACGGAAATACAAAACTAACTCTTTAGTTTTTTTTAAAATTTGTAGAGCCCATCCATTTTTAAGAATATCCTTAACCCAAAGGTTTATTCCGTGAGCCCAACATCCGAGAAAGATCTTGTTTGAATATTTATTTTTTAAAATATTCCACGCAGCTTTCATATTATTTGCATTATCCGTGATTATGCAGACAAACTTATCAATATTAATTTCGCGCATTACATTTTCAATTCCTTTAGCTATATTTTCCGCGGTATGATGTTCTTCTTTAGTACAAACCGATTTATAAAAAATCGGATTAGGTGTAGTAATCATGTAATTAATTATTGGTGATTTGTTAACATTCGACCACCCATCACTAACCAAACAATGATAAGGTGTTTCATCAAGGGTATTTTGGACAACTACTTGTAGATTCATATATTCTTTATCAAGAAGTGAATTGGAAAGAGTATGACGAGATGGAATATTAAAAGAAGGGCAAGCCTTTTTAAGAAAGGCTTGAAAATCTATATTTTCGATTACATTAAATGAAACTCCTGATGTATAAAAGGCACGTGCAAGCAAAGATTCCAATTCAATTTGTTCTTGTGAGGTAAGATTCGATACTTTTTGTCTTTTATTATTATTTGAAGTTTCATTCAAATTGCGCAAAGCACATGTATTAATATGTTCTTGCAACCGAGTTATATTTTTAGCCCATTCCTTCTTGCATGCTTTACATTTGTAACGTTCTTTACCCTTTTCATCGATTCTTATAGTATATTCATCCCGTATATCTTCGATCTTGTTTCGAGCCATTTTAATTCTGTTATAAAACTTTACATATTTCATTTTTCTTTTATATAAACGATATAAATGATTATAAGCGATACAAATGATATAAGCGATACAAATGATATAAGCGATACAAATAATATAACTATTTTCGTTATATTAACAAATGATGTAAATAATTTAATAAACTTTTATTTGTTATAAAATGACGATTTCATTTTATTTGACTATATACAAAGAAAATCTGCTATCGGGCTTTAATTATATTTACAATCCCTATTCAATTAAATATATTAATATCCAGTGTGAAAACCCGATGGCAGGTTTTCTCCATATACCAGCATTATGAAAGTTTGGCCGGCATTAATCATATTACAAATTACATGAAAATTGATTTTCGTAAAATTACTTAAAATTACGTAAATTTACGTAAAATTACAGTAATTTGCCAACCCTA